CCATACTCATGTACTCGCCTAGTTGTGCTTGAAGGGGTTGAGCTCTGTGTGTCTGTGTGTGTGTGTGTGTGTGTGTGTGTGTGTGTGTGTGTGTGTGTGTGTGTGTGTGTGTGTGTGTGTGTGTGTGTGTGTGTGTGTGTGTGTGTGTGTGTGTCTGTGTGTGTGTCTGTGTGTGTGTCTGTGTGTGTGTGTGTCTGTGTGTGTGTGTGTGTGTGTGTGTGTGTGTGTGTGTGTGTGAGTGAGTGTGAGTGCGTGTGTACTCACCTAGTTGTGTTTGCGGGGGTTGAGCTCTTGCTTTTTGGTCCCGCCTCTCAACTCTCAATCAACTAATGTACAGATGCTAGAGCCTACTGGGCTCTATTAAATCAACATTTGAAACTGTGCATGGAGTCAGCCTCCACCACATCACTGCTTAATGCATTCCATCTGTTAACTGCTCTGACACTGAACAAAAATTCTAATGTCTCTGTGGCTCATTTGGGTATTAAGTTTTCATCTGTGTCCGGTTGTTCGTATTCCACGGTTGCTAAATAGTTTCTTTGTCGACCCCCATCAATTCCCATGATAGTTGTGTAGGTGGTGATCATGTCTCCCTCTTACTCTTCTATCTTCCAGGGACGTGAGTTTTAGCTCCCGTAGCCTCTCCTCGTAGCTCATATTTCCAAGTTCTGGGACGAGTCTGGTGGCATACATCTGAATCTTCTCTTTGTCTTGTGTTTAACTAGGTACGGACTCCAGGCTGGAGCTACATACTCTAGCCTTATGGAGTAAGAATTCCTTACACAAGTTTTTAAAGGCAGTTCTTATGTTGGCCAATCATGCATATGTCGCTGATGATATCCTTTTGATGTGGGCCTCTGAGGATAGATTCGGTGTGACATCAACCCCAGGTCCTCCTCTCTATTTGACTCTTGCAGGATTTCACCTCCCAGATGGTACCTTGTGTTCAGCCTTCTGCTCCCTTCGCCTAATTGTATTACTTTACACTTTCCCGAGTTAAACTTTAGTAGCCATTTTCTAGACCATTCCTCCAGTTCGTCCAGGTCGTCCTGTAGTCTCTATGTTCATCTATCTTGATTCTTCTCATAATTTTTGACTCATCAGCGAACATTGAGAGGAATGAATCCATACTCATGTACTCGCCTAGTTGTGCTTGAAGGGGTTGAGCTCTGGCTCTTTGGTCCCACCTCTCAGCTGTCAATCAACTAGTGCACAGATTCACACTGTACACCAGACATACACACTGGTTTGTGTGTGTTTGTGTGTGTGTGTGTGTGTGTGTGTGTGTGTGTGTGTGTTCTATTTGTACTCACGTATGTGTTCCTGGAGAACCGAGCTCTAGTTCTTGGACTCCGCTTTTGTAGCCATTGGTTGTGTGTGTGTTTGTATTTGTATGTGTGTGTGTACGTGAACACATGCTGTGCTTCCTGCCTGTACCGTTGACCTGCTCACTTGCAATAATACTGAATATTCGATCACTAAGTCATACCTGGGCAACTGCTTTGAAACAAAAGCTGAAGGATTAAGAACCAATAAACTTTTTACAACAAATGAAGAATATTTTTGGGACACCGATGTCAAAGTTTTCTCTTATGTCTGCGTCAACAGCTGAAGCAGAGGCGGATGTCTGCGTCAACAGCTGAAGCAGAGGCGGATGTCTGCGTCAACAGCTGAAGCAGAGGCGGCCTCATAGTACAAAAGCTTTGAAAATCATCTGCCTCTTCTCAACACTAATATGTTGCAGCCAAGCTGAGACATCTCTCCAGTTTGTGGAGTCAGGAAGTGCTGAGGAGCTTCACAAGAAACAATAGCTAACGATGAATACCATTTAGCAAAAATAAATTTAGTTGATTGAAATAATAAAAACAGATATAGACTCTTTCTGGAAAGACGTTCTTCAATATAAAGATGCCGTAGGTTCAAATCTAGTTGAGAGGAAGCTTCGTATGAAGAGATTCTATGAACCACATCAGACGGACATTGACCACATGTTCAAGTTTGCAGATGCAACTCGTGAGGGCAATGGGGCGGAAGCCCTTAGGCAATGTCTGTACAGAACCTGGTTTCTGAATAGGAAGAACAACCGCCTCAAGCTAGTCCTCGGGAACTGATGACTCCCAGATGCGGTTATTCATATTCATTAAACACTGAAACGTGCATGGAGGGAGATGGCAAAACATCTAATAATTATTGTCATTTTAGCCCGCAGCCGTAGAACCGCAGAGGGTCAAGGCAGACTGGAGTTTGAGAGAGACAAGGGACCATTATAGGGAAGCTGTAGCTATGTGCGAAAATCTAAGGGACAAGATTCAAGAAGGGGCTTACGAGTATGGAAAGAGGGAAGAAGATGGGAAATGGAGCTAACAGTCAAAAAGTGTGAGCACAGTTCGGTCGGGACCGACACCGGATCCGCCACAATAGAACCACGGAGGTGAAGGACTGGCGAGACATCTGGAACAAACTTACTCGCTATCTTACGGATTTTCTTCCAGATCTGTGGGAGAGGAGTGTCAACTGTAATGTGGAGACAAAAGATATCCAACTCTCCCACTTATCTGTACAGTTTGACTTACAGGCCTCCTCACTTGCCTTTAGAAACAAAATAAAAGAATCGGACGTCTATCGGCGCCAGTGTGTCTTCCAGGCTGCACGCTAAAAGTGGACTACTCGAGCACAGTCTGAATTTTACCAGGGAACGCACTCCCGCGAGCCCCGGGAGGTAGAGCGAGGAACAGAGTGGAGGGCAGGGCCGAATACAGTGTCATGAAAATGGAGGAGGGCTCGAGGTAGAGCAAATCAGAGAGGTCGGCAAGAGTAGCGTGTAAGGTGAAGAGGTTTCAGTCAGCCTTGGCAAACAGCCACCTAGGGACGGAGAGGGGAGGGTGAAAAGAGAAGAAGGCGACAAGGATGAGTAATGGTCACTGTTATAGAGGTCATCAAGAGCCCGCCATGTGAAATTTAAATAAAGAGAAGACGAGCAGAGATAAAGATCGAGACAAGAGAGGGTGCGTATGCACGAGTCAACATGAGCTGGTTCAGAGGAATTTAGAAGAGACAAAGAAGAAGAGAGGGCAAGTGGTTCACGAGGGCGGTTGTCACAACAGCGCCCCAGAGAGTATGCCGACAGGTAAAATCACCCATAAGAAGGACAGGCTGCGGTAAGGAGTTCAACAGGTGTTTAAGATCAGGAAGAGAAAGTGGAACATTTGCAGGGAGATAAATGGAACAGTGTACCATTTCTTCACGAAGATATGGGCAGTGGAGGAAGTGATCAGCGACAGGAAAAGAAGGGGGAACAAAAGGGATATTATTACAGATCAACAATGTAGTAGAGTTAGGGGCCCCAGTAAAAGCTGGAGGGGACAGAAAGGAATAACCGCAGAAGCGCCAATAATCCAGCGAATAACCTGGATGAGCGCCAAGCATCGGTTTCTAGAGACAGTCACAATGTGGCCAAAACTGTGTAATCAGAAGATGGAGTTTATGAAGTTGATATAAAATTACGATTATTCCATTGAAGAATAGACACTGTCAAAAACAGAGAAAACAAGGGGAAAAACAAAGGCAAAAAAGGGAAGGGAGTTATCAGGAGAAAGCACCAAGCCATTACGACTATAGACCCAAAGGCAAAGAAGAACACAGTAAGCTAGATAGGATTAGAATCGGGTTCAGTGAAATCAAGGTTATTTACAGGGCATAGGTAAATCTATCACAGGTGATTGAGTCGAGGGAGCGGTAGGATAGGCCAGAGGCGGACTGACAGACTCTAGACTAAGAGGAGACATCAGAGAGGGGCGGTCAAGGAAACCTGGGAGGGGGGGGGGGTGAAGGACAGAAACAGGGGAGTGCACTTGATCATGGGCGGCACCTAGTGCACCCATGATCAAGTCAAGAATCTCCATAAATGGGACAGTAAACTCTGCCACTGAAATGGGAAGAGACATAGGGACAGAGTCTGAAGGCGAGGGATGTATCGATGCCTTCTTACCCGTCGGGGAGGAAGGAGGACAGGAGCCAGGTTTACGTTTCTAATTTAGAAGGACAGGTGTACCGGCAGCAATGTACTGGGCGACAGCCTCCACCGTCTTAGCAGGAGAGGGAGAATGGAAGCAGGAGGGACAACAGCCTGGACGGACAGGTGTTATGGAGGCCAAAAGATACATAAAGGGGAGGTCTGAGAAGAAGGATTGGGTGAAGAAAGGAAGGAGGGCACAGGAGACAGGGAAGACTGGGGAAGGAAGGGAGGAAACGCCAGGTGGGGAACCATAAGGAACCACCCTCAGTTCCAGATGCACAGGTGGGCAGGTGGTGATGCCGCGGTCCAAGGCCTGGAAACAGGTGCAGATCTAAGTAATCTTCATCAAATTTGAAGTGAATACATGTGTGGGAGAAGTTAGGGTGGGCGTCACCGCAATTGATGCGGTGTCTCGGGTCATAGATTGACCCAAGACTCCACACAAGGGGCACACACACACACACACACACACACACACACACACACACACACCTCACTTGTGCACTTCAAGGAACATGCCCAAATCTCCAGCCTCTGATGCAAAGGCGAGAAGAGGGGATGTACTTCTGAACGGCGCATCTGGCACCAGCAAGAATTACGGAAGATGGAAGGTACGTACTATCAAACGTGATCTTCATTACACGAAGAGGCTGACGACGACCACCACGAGTGGGTCGAGTGAATGTATGAACCTGGAGGAAAGAATGGCTTTAAGTATACATTTAATATTCTCATTGGCAGTCTTTCAATTCCTTATCACCAGTAGCAACATGGTGCGGGGAAAGAACTGTGCCAATGCTGGTATTTAACCAGGCATTTTTAGAGAATCGAACAGGGGGGTCTCCCGAAAGCAGGACAATGAGGCTAAGCGGTCAGCCACTTTCTGAGAAGCGGCAGCAAAGACACGTGTACCAGTACAGGTGGGGCTAAAAGTAACAAAAGTATCCACCGAATCAGAGAGGTGTTTATGGATGAATAAATCAGGATGCGTAGGATCAACATGACTGACATCAAAATACTTAGTCCACTTAACAGCACCAAACCAATCCTAGAATGTAGTAGATTGAGAATGATTTATGCATTTTCGAGTGAGGAGGTGACGGCGCCGAGCATTCCCAGTAAGGAGGCGGATAAAATGTGCAGTTGACACGAGAGCTGGAGCCAGCTCTCCAGCTGGGAGAGGTGATGAGGTCATCACCACTGGGGGCTTGTGGCTCAACCCCGCCACGGAGGTGGTAGAGGAGCGGAGAGGATCAGTCAGGAGAGTCAGAGAAGCAACTTGGTCTGGGACCAATGTAGCAGCTGCTACAGAACCCGGCTTTCCATCACAGTCGGACTCGGAGGCTTGGTCGCTCACTCCACGAATCTCAGAAGTTAAAATGAGGGCCAGAAGTCGGCATAGAACGAATAAGAATACAATTTAAGCCACAATTAAACCCCCATACCCATCATTGAGCCAAAATTAGGGGACAGGGAACTCGATAAATCTGAGCCTTCCCAGAGGTGCATTGTTGATACACACCCTGCAATTGTCACCTTAAGAATCGTCAGTCCGTCGAGATCAGGCTCGCCAACGAAACCAGAGTTTACCATAAACGCTTAGCTTTGTGTAACCCCGTCAGGTGCCAGACTTCTCAACTCACCCGGCGTCAAAACAGAAGAAGACAAAGGAAAGAATATTCAAGAACGGCACCAAGTCGGTAGGAAGGAACAATCAGCAAGGAGAAGACGGGGAGAGAAAAAATAAAACTTAAGGAAGAGGAAAAAGAAACGAGAAAAAATTAGTGAAGACAGCAGCAGGAGAGTGCTAGGAGAAGGACATTACATGTGGTGCTGGGACAAAGACAATACATGTGGTGCTGGGACAAAGACAATACATGTGGTGCTGGGACAAAGACAATACATGTGGTGCTGGGACAAAGACAATACATGTGGTGCTGGGACAAAGACAATACATGTGGTGCTGGGACAAAGACAATACATGTGGTGCTGGGACAAAGACAATACATGTGGACCTGGGACAAAGACATTACTTGTCGACCTGGGACAAAGTGCTGGTTTGCAGTGGAGAGGAACTTGCGCAGTGTTGCTGGTTATTGTTTTAAATTTTGAAATGTGTTGCCACAACATAACTCATCTGAATTTTGTTGGCCAGAAGGAAATGTAAATATTGTTTAGTAAACGTGTTTACTAAACAAGGAAGGTCCCAGTGCCCTTCTTCACCACCTTCGAGGTCAACCCCGGAACTCACAGTTCCTGCGACGGCGCTGGAACCAATCGTATTGGCGTATGCCTTTCCATTATAGACTTTCAGCGCCGTGGAGAGGTGGGGACCTGCTGCCTGGGTAACAGCTTCACCCCCGAATCAACCTACCCTGGCTTTGCGCCCTGGTGAGGCCACTCCAGACCAGGCCGACACCAGACCGTAACTCCATAGTCTCCTGAGACTGATGAATGCCTACTTCTACTACTACTACTTACTCTTAATGCTGTTTTTGGTATTAAGATTACCTCCCCCACATTTGTACTTTTGTTAACTGTTTACCCTGAGTTTGTGACCGAGTTGGAGTGCCACCATCTAAGCTTGAGCTGGGCCCAGGTACCGATACGTTGGGGTTTACCTGGTATCAGCAGCAGCAGTGTGAGGTAAGCCAGGTTGGGGACCTTGAGAGAGTATCTGCGTGTGTGTGTGTGTGTGTGTGTGTGTGTGTGTGTGTGTGTGTGTGTGTGTGTGTGTGTGTGTGTGTGTGTGTGTGTGTGTTGCCCACATCTCAAGGACATCAACAAACTGGAAAAGGAGCAAAGACGTGCAACAAAATGGCTTGAGGAACTGAAAGACGAGCTATGTGGAGAGTTAGATAGATCAAAGGTAGAAGAGTGAAGACAATGGGGTGATATGACCACTACGTACAAAATAGCAACAGGAATCGACCAAACTGATAAAGAAGAATTCTTGAAACTTGGAACTTTACGAACAAAACATCAACGATTTAGGCTTACTAAACAAAGCTGCCAAAAGAACATTAGAAGATTTTCATTCGCTTACAGAGTGGTAGACGGTTGGAGCAAGTTAAGTGAGGTGGTGGTGGAGGCCAAAATCGTCAGGAATTTCAAAGCGTTATATGATAAAGAGTACTGGGAAGACGGGACACCACGAGCGTAGCTCTCATCCTGTAACAATTTAATTGTTACAGGATGTTAAATTGTAACGAAGAGGCAATTTCATTTCACTTAACTACTCGCATCACAGCATCAGCATCACTACAATGCCATAGTGGTTGGGCCACCACCTTGTTCTTTTTCCTCTTAACCTTATCTTCCAATCCTACTTCAAGTTTTCCTCTATCCTTTCCCTAGCTCTTCCATCCCTGTGCTTACAAGCTCTATGGGGCAGCTTCAAGATCACACCTAGGTAAACACACACACACACACACACACACACACACACACACACACACACACACACACACACACACACACACACACACACACACACACACACACCCTGGATGCATCCCACAGCGGTTATCTAACACCTAGGAACCTAGTAATCCTAGGTGAAGAAAGGTATCAGGTGAAAAATTCTGCCAGCACACACACACATATTTAGAGCCAATGACGGACAGTGTTCAAGAGGTGAGTTATATGCTAACTGTACTGACGTAAATAATTACGATTCCCAGGTTTGACCTGGTGTTGGAGGGTGAGTGTGTGCTGACCTGGTGTTGGAGGGTGAGTGTGTGCTGACCTGGTGTTGGAGGGTGAGTGTGTGCTGACCTGGTGTTGGAGGGTGAGTGTGTGCTGACCTGGTGTTGGAGGGTGAGTGTGTGCTGACCTGGTGTTGGAGGGTGAGTGTGTGCTGACCTGGTGTTGGAGGGTGAGTGTGTGCTGACCTGGTGTTGGAGGGTGAGTGTGTGCTGACCTGGTGTTGGAGGGTGAGTGTGTGCTGACCTAGTGTTGGAGGGTGAGTGTGTGCTGACCTAGTGTTGGAGGGTGAGTGTGTGCTGACCTAGTGTTGGAGGGTGAGTGTGTGCTGACCTGGTGTTGGAGGGTGAGTGTGTGCTGACCTGGTGTTGGAGGGTGAGTGTGTGCTGACCTGGTGTTGGAGGGTGAGTGTGTGCTGACCTGGTGTTGGAGGGTGAGTGTGTGCTGACCTGGTGTTGGAGGGTGAGTGTGTGCTGACCTGGTGTTGGAGGGTGAGTGTGTGCTGACCTGGTGTTGGAGGGTGAGTGTGTGCTGACCTGGTGTTGGAGGGTGAGTGTGTGCTGACCTGGTGTTGGAGGGTGAGTGTGTGCTGACCTGGTGTTGGAGGGTGAGTGTGTGCTGACCTGGTGTTGGAGGGTGAGTGTGTGCTGACCTGGTGTTGGAGGGTGAGTGTGTGCTGACCTGGTGTTGGAGGGTGAGTGTGTGCTGACCTGGTGTTGGAGGGTGAGTGTGTGCTGACCTAGTGTTGGAGGGTGAGTGTGTGCTGACCTAGTGTTGGAGGGTGAGTGTGTGCTGACCTGGTGTTGGAGGGTGAGTGTGTGCTGACCTGGTGTTGGAGGGTGAGTGTGTGCTGACCTGGTGTTGGAGGGTGAGTGTGTGCTGACCTGGTGTTGGAGGGTGAGAGTGTGCTGACCTGGTGTTGGAGGGTGAGTGTGTGCTGACCTGGTGTTGGAGGGTGAGTGTGTGCTGACCTGGTGTTGGAGGGTGAGTGTGTGCTGACCTGGTGTTGGAGGGTGAGTGTGTGCTGACCTGGTGTTGGAGGGTGAGAGTGTGCTGACCTGGTGTTGGAGGGTGAGTGTGTGCTGACCTGGTGTTGGAGGGTGAGTGTGTGCTGACCTGGTGTTGGAGGGTGAGTGTGTGCTGACCTGGTGTTGGAGGGTGAGTGTGTGCTGACCTGGTGTTGGAGGGTGAGTGTGTGCTGACCTGGTGTTGGAGGGTGAGTGTGTGCTGACCTGGTGTTGGAGGGTGAGTGTGTGCTGACCTAGTGTTGGAGGGTGAGTGTGTGCTGACCTAGTGTTGGAGGGTGAGTGTGTGCTGACCTAGTGTTGGAGGGTGAGTGTGTGCTGACCTGGTGTTGGAGGGTGAGTGTGTGCTGACCTGGTGTTGGAGGGTGAGTGTGTGCTGACCTGGTGTTGGAGGGTGAGAGTGTGCTGACCTGGTGTTGGAGGGTGAGTGTGTGCTGACCTGGTGTTGGAGGGTGAGTGTGTGCTGACCTAGTGTTGGAGGGTGAGTGTGTGCTGACCTAGTGTTGGAGGGTGAGTGTGTGCTGACCTAGTGTTGGAGGGTGAGTGTGTGCTGACCTGGTGTTGGAGGGTGAGTGTGTGCTGACCTGGTGTTGGAGGGTGAGTGTGTGCTGACCTGGTGTTGGAGGGTGAGAGTGTGCTGACCTGGTGTTGGAGGGAGAGTGTGTGCTGACCTGGTGTTGGAGGGTGAGAGAGTGCTGACCTAGTGTTGGAGGGTGAGTGTGTGCTGACCTAGTGTTGGAGGGTGAGTGTGTGCTGACCTGGTGTTGGAGGGTGAGTGTGTGCTGACCTGGTGTTGGAGGGTGAGTGTGTGCTGACCTGGTGTTGGAGGGTGAGAGTGTGCTGACCTGGTGTTGGAGGGTGAGTGTGTGCTGACCTGGTGTTGGAGGGTGAGTGTGTGCTGACCTAGTGTTGGAGGGTGAGTGTGTGCTGACCTAGTGTTGGAGGGTGAGTGTGTGCTGACCTAGTGTTGGAGGGTGAGTGTGTGCTGACCTGGTGTTGGAGGGTGAGTGTGTGCTGACCTGGTGTTGGAGGGTGAGAGTGTGCTGACCTGGTGTTGGAGGGTGAGTGTGTGCTGACCTGGTGTTGGAGGGTGAGAGTGTGCTGACCTGGTGTTGGAGGGCGAGTGTGTGCTGACCTGGTGTTGGAGGGTGAGAGAGTGCTGACCTGGTGTTGGAGGGCGAGAGTCTGCTGACTGCAGGTTAGCATATAATATAATGCTACTCACCGCTGCCTCTAAACATTGCCAGGGTTTATCTTGCCAGTATTTCTTATAAATTATTATGAACGATGTTTGACATGTTCACTGACCCACGACATTGGTTTAAAACTCAGAAATTCCGCTTCATATAATCATATACCCTTGGAACTGTGCTCTGAAGCATCACTCGGCCTAAGTGGCTTCACAATACACTTAGGCACTATCTTATTTAAACTAACAATAGTTCCAAATGTTTGACTATTTTTAACATTAGTGGAAATTAATAGTGTGTGGAGCGGGCTGAGTTGTCCAATCAATATCCAGCTTCGACAAGGGGCTGAATAGAGGCTGCCAATCAATGTCCTCCGCAGATGTTTTGGTGAATCGCGGCAGCCAATCAGTGTCCTCAGGGGGTGACCTATTCCTGTCCATCAGCGCCAAGAATCTGCCCTGATGGCAGCTTGGTCTCAGCCAATTACCGTCCGTCTGGTGACTTACCATGTGTTTCTGCCCTGCCAGTGTGCCTTCGGCTCCGGCGGTAGGGATGATCAGACCAAGCCAATCAGCGTCCGATTGAAGATACTTTCCAGCCAATCAGCCAGACCCCCTAGTCGATTGACTCTAATTGACATGTTCCAGCCAATTAGAGGCTGAAATATGATGTGTCTAAACCAATCAGGTTCAAATTTTGAACGGGGTTAACCAATCAGGATCTCAGACATGTCCGCGTCAGACCTGACAATGACTCAGAGATGCCCCGGGCTGACGTCAC